CCAGATTGCCGAATCTGAATGAGATCGGATCATAATTATAGCCAGAATGAAGAAATGAATTTTCTGTTGGTTCCCTCTCCTTCTCCAGCGCTGCTGACGCTACTGATTCTCTTTCTCGCTCGCACACTCTGCCGCGTTCAGTGCGCGAGGCAACCCTAGCGGAGGAGATGTAGAATCTAAATGGAACACGTAGAATCTACATGTTAGATGTAGAATAGACATTGTATATGTAGATGTAGATAGCAGATGTAGCAAAAAAATGTAAAATGTAAAATTTTTTTTTTTTTTCCAAAATTCTACAAAATCATAAGCTGTATATACTGACTGAGTACGGGTATACGGGTATACTTCTCGTTTGTATATATTTTGTATAACTTTTAATGAAAAATGTATGTATATAAAAAATAAAAAAAACAACATCAAAAATTGTTTGATGTTTAATTATTTTAATAAATTCTTTTTATCTATCCATGAATTGTGTGTTTCATCAAACCCTAACCATTTAACAAAAACTTTATCATGTTTTCTTCGGATTATTTTTTCAACTAAGAAAGCATTTTCATCTTTTACTTTTTGGAGTTCTTGATCATAAAAGGAGCCTTTGATCATTTCCCCCTTATAGTCCTCCAGTTCATATGTTACAGGATTGGTAGACTTGACTTTTAAAATTTTAAAAACTTCGGTTGTCCAGTTTGGTTCATATCCCTTCGTAAAAATACCTTTATATTTACTTATTCTAACAGGATCACCAATGGAAAACTTATTTTTGGGGAATACCTTGCAAATATTATAAACTGTTTTTAAAATAAACTCTTCATTTTGCTTGTCTACATCTATAGGACTCATTTTTATGGTTCTGTGATATGAATTATTATAATCATTTACTAAGTCCTGCAAGGCATGAATCCATACATGATTACCCTGCATACTAAACATTTTCCACATACGATTTTTTAATGTTCTATTAAAACGTTCACAAATAGATGCCTTGAGGTGTGTATATGTATGGTAATGGTTTATGTTGTTTATTCGCATTAACTCTCCAAAGGAACTATTGAAAAACTCCTTTCCTTGATCGGATTGAATATTTTTAGGGATATGTTTAGATATATTAAATATTCTCTTCATTGCTGATGACACATCTGAAGCTGTTTTAGACTTAACGGGAGCTGCATATGAAAACTTCGAGAACGTATCAATCACTGTTATCAAATATCTAAATCCTTTATTTTCCTTATAAAAGGGGATCATTTCAACTAAGTCTATTTGCCAAGTGTCATTAATGCCCTTTTGAACGAATTTGCGACGAGTAAAGTTTTTTCTAGCAGGCTTATGTATTTCATTAACAACTTGCTGCTTACTCATTTTTATTAATTTTTACTTTTAATATTATTGTTGATTGATTGCTTATTTAATAGTGTTTGCTTATACTCGAGAACATCGCGTTTTCTTTGATTACACATTTTTTTGGAAATTTCGAAACATAACCGGGTTAAATCTATTTCAACATTTCTATCATAAGTTCCGTCTAAATCAGATAGTTGAACATCAAATTTTTGCAATTCTGCACACTTAGGAATAATGTTATTATAGTAAAGAAATGTAATTTGTTGTTTAGGTATCGTATTCCAACATAAAAATGTAGTAAAAAAAATGCCTAATCTTAAAAATTATCTCCAGGACTCACTATCAAATTCAATTTTATTTCCAAACTGATTTATTATAAAAACATACTGCTTATCGGATTTTCGAAATCTAAAATTACATTTTATAGTACCTAATAATGGATGGTCTATAATTGTATCAGGCATCAAGAAATCATACTGATCAAGTTTTAATTGAATATACTCCTTGTATGTAACCAATTTCATCCATTCATCTTTATCTAATCCAACGAAATTGTTTTTGCTTTGCTGCATCCAGATCATGGGAGTGAATTTTCTTGAAGTTGAAAACCCACACTTTAACTTTAAATTATGTATTACATAATATTCGAGTCCGAATATGACTTCGTGATCCTGCTTCTTTCTAGTAGACCTAATTCTTTTTTGATTGAAGCGTGTCCATTAGAGTTGAATGCTTTTTTTAAACTGAGAACTATTACTGAAATGAGCTGTATATAAAGGAGAAAGCTATCACCGACTCATTTAGTTTATTACAAAATCTCAAGCCAACATGAACACAATCGACAGGAAATCAAGCGTTATTGTTGATTTTCAATATCTCTTTGGAAATAACAAACAAATTTTTATTAAGGAATTAGCGTTTATGCAAGTAACTCCAAACTTCTTTCATTTCAAACCACCATACAACCTAAATGAATTGGATAATGAAATGATTAAACAACAAAACATACATCATCACACCATAAATGGATTGGAATGGTCAGACGGTGAAATATCATATTTAAGATTAGGTGAAATACTTTCACCACTAAACAGATTTAACACTGTCATTGTAAGAGGTGAAATTAAAAAAAAGTTTTTATCAAAGTATTTAACAAATAACATTATTGATATCGATATTGGAAAAAGTCTGACCTTATATCCAAATTTTTTTACCAACTGTAGAATTCACAAAAAAATGCCTCTTAGATGTGCTCTAAATAATTTATTTAAGCTTTTTGTTATCTTGGAAAATTCAAATTATAATGTATACTGTAATGGTGATTCATATGTATAGAATTTCAGTATGTATTAAGCATTGGAATTAACTAGTTGATTAAAATGGATACATTTAAGCGTTTGTTTGAAAATGATCCACGCAAAAAAGGATACTCCCAAGTTGTTTATTGTAATTATTGCGGATCTGATACTCATTTTGAAAAAAACTGTCACAAAAAACGCGATCAGGAGAAACCTAATTAAATTATAGAAAACATTTATAAATGATTAATAAATAAAAATTACTAAAAAATGTTTAAACAATTTATACATCCTTTTACAATGCTAATTTGTGGTCCTTCAGGGTCTGGAAAGACAACGTTTTTAGAAAATTTAATAAACAAAAGGAATGAAATGCTAAGTATTTCAATTGATCGAATACTGTGGTGTTATGGTGAGGAACACGCTAAACCAAATTTCAATAACATCGAATACTATAAAGGAATTCCTGAAACAATTGAAAATGAAGCTAATGAACCCATTCTTTTAATATTAGATGACTTGATGATGGGTGCATTTAATAAAAATGTATGCGAGCTTTTCACGAGAGGATCTCACCACAGGAACTTATCTGTAATAGTAGTTACACAAAACATATTTCATAAATCATCACATACGCGAGATATTTCTCTAAACACAAAATACATCGTTGCATTCAAAAACCCCAGAGATAAACTGCAATTTCAATGCTTGGCAAGACAAATTTATCCTGAGAACTCTCAGGAACTATTTAGAATATATAAGGAGGTTACAGATGAGCCACATGGTTATTTACTTATTGACCTTACTCAGGGAATAAATGATCTCTTGAGATTTCGAACAGATATTTTTAATTCTGTGTACACAATTTGCTTTGCTGATGAAAATGGTTTACAAAAAGAATCTAAATCGATTGAAAGCGAACAAACATTTATTGTATGTGCTCAAAAGGGCTAACCACAAACTTCGAAATGCAATTATAAGTAATTGTGATATTGAGTCGGTGAAAGCATTAGTGGAAATAGTATTGAACACATTACAAGGAAATCATAAGATATCAAAATCTCAACTATATGCTCTCAAAAAGTATAAAAATGCATTACGTTATATTTCATGTCCAAAACGTTCAATCAATTCCAAGAGAAAAGTTCTCATCCAAAAGGGAGGATTTTTACCAATTCTAATCAGTTCATTGCTTTCGGGGATTTTTGGAAAAATATTAAGCAATGTTTAGAAATACGCATCAATTAAGCAAAGTAATTTTAATGCGTCCGAATGCTTATCAAAAACTAATAAAAGGTGAAAATGAAAACGATTTAATAAATATAACATTTTTACCTTTTTTAAATGATAAGAAAACTAGTGACTATAATAAATGGATTAAAATACGTCAAGAATTGTGTTACTATCAAAATAAAAAAAGAAATAAGACAATGGATGTACGACCTAGTCTGAAAACATCACATCCATCATCTAAAACCATTGGAACACAAACACAAGACGACTCAGTCGGGTTTGATGTAATGCCCACAACTGATATTCTTTACAATAAAAATAATGTTAACCCAAAAAAGGATTTCTCAATAGATAATGAGTCACATGATTTACCTAATCTCAGCGACGATGATGATTTAAAGCCTGAAAAAACTTTTAAGTCAACGCATAAAAAACGTAAAGTAAAGGACACTTCATTTTTAGAAACACCATTTTTAGACACTCAAGTATCAAAAATACAAGCAGTATCTAAAGTAAAGCTTACCGATAAGCAGCAAAAACTAAGAGCAAAACTTAAGAGGGATAAAAGTGAACCAAAACCATTACAAGACTTGAAATACGTAAGCGGACGGGAAAAGTTGAGTAGATCTGTTAGAAACAAAGAGCCTTTGCAAATTGGAAAAAACAAAATTAATTGGGTTTCCTACAATTAATAAACGGAGCAGAACATAAAACAAAAAATGACATTTACAACACAGTTTTTCGTTACATTACTCAGTAATGATTCGTTAAATGTCTTTAATGATAACGTTAAGTGTGCATTTACAAACATTGTAAATAATCCTGAAAATATGAATGACGAATGGGAAGTTGGAATCACAGACTTATATCTTAATAAATGTACACCAGTCAATCATAATAATTCCTCGATTATATCTACCGAAACAACAGAATTCGTTATTAGCTTAGTAAATGGGGAAACATTTAGATATGAAAATGAATCAATTGAGTCTGAAGTTTTTGAAAATGGATTGATTTTTGTTTACACTGACATTATTAAACCAAGATGTGTAGGAAACAAGAGACCCCAATGTCTTCGAGTATTATATTTCAATGGAAAAGAGCAACTCATGCAATTCAAAAATATTGAATATTATCCTATTGAAATATGGTCACCAAAGGAAATTTCAATATTAATTACTGATTCCAAAGGATATAAAGTACCATTTGAATCTTCAACAGTTCCAATATTTATTACTCTACACTTCAGAAAACGAATCGAAATGCTATAAATAAAACTGTACAAATCTAAATTAGTTCAGAGTAGAAATAGTCATCATGACGAGATCTTATCAACAATATTATTTAAATCAATGTGGTGGTGGGTTAAATCATATAGGAAGTCTATATGTGACACCCAGAGTTATCCAACAAGGTAGAGGAATTGGAAATTTTTTTAGTGGGCTTTTTAATTATATAAAACCACTCTTCCTTTCGGGGATAAACGCTATTAAAAATCAAGCCTCTGAAACTGGAAAGGCTGTAATAAATGAGTTTGGTCGAAAACCTTTAAGAAACATTATCCAAGAACAAAGCAAAATTGCATTGCAAAATCTGTCAAATAAAGCAATAAATAAATTTACACGATTCCAAAATGGTGAAGGTAAAAAGAATAAAAAGAGAAGGTCTAGGAAAAAACGAGCTCATTTATCATCTAAACAAGGACGCAAACATACGCAGTCGAGACCAATAAAGAAAAAATCCTCCAAGAAATTAAATATAAAAGATATTTTTTCGAAATCAAAATGACCACCCATATAGAATGTATGAAAAGCGAATTGGATCTGTTTGAACCACATCCCACACAAAGCTCTATTCTGAGAACTGAAGAAGTTTCATACAATCCCATAGCTTCATTGGACAGCGCCTCTTCAATTGAATTCGTTTGCTTAGGAAATGGTGAAACATATCGAGATCTGTCAAGTGTTTACTTAAGACTTGTTGTACAACTAAGAAAAAATGATAATGGAAGCATTGAAGGAGACAATGTTGGAGTAGTGAATAATATTTTACATTCAATGTTCAGAAGTTCGTCTGTATATTTAAATAATATATTGGTTTCTCAGAGTGATAATAACTATCATTATAGATCGTATTTGCAAACGATTTTAAACTATGGTAGTGACGCCACTGAAAGTCACTTAACCACTCAAGGCTATTATCCTAACTATGGTAAATTATTATCTGGTAGATATGTTAATACCGATGGATCCGTTTTGCTTAAAAAAATTTTTCAAAACAGTAATAAGGTTGAACTTTTTGGAAAAGTTAATGGAGATATATTTAATCAACCAAAACTGCTTATAAATAATGTTGATTTAAGAATAACTTTTAACATTGAAAAAACAGCATTTTATTTAATGGAATCTGAAACTGAATCAAATCTAAAGATATTGGAAGCACAACTCTTCATGAACCACATAACTATTAATCCAAGCATTTTATTGGCTCATCATCATGTTTTACAAACTAAAAATGCTATTTATCCATATAGCAAAGCCCAAGTAAAATCATTTACAATATACCCAGGAAATAATACATTATCAATTGACAATGCAGTTATTGGACAGATTCCTAATTTTTTGGCTTTTTGCATGGTAAAAAACAAATCATATTCTGGCAATCGAACTTTGAATCCTTTCAATTTTGAACATTTTAAAATTCAACGCTTTAATCTATTGGTTAATGGTGTGCAAGTACCATCGCAGGCTCTTGAGTTTGATTTCTCGAACTCTGAAAATGCACAAAGCTCTAGAGGTTATAATATGCTATTCAGAGCAAGTGGAATAAGACATTATGATCGAGGCTTGCAAATTACAAAGGAAATGTATGATAAAAATAGTTTTATATTAGCATTTGACTTAACTGCTGACCATTATAATTCAACCCATTGCTCAAACTTAATTTCTCAAGGAGCCATTCGAATTGAAGGACGATTTTCGGAACCTCTTACTGAAGCAGTTACTTGTTTGGTATACTGTGAATATGACTCAATGATTGATATTGATAAACATCGAAATATTCGGGTTCTATTATAAAAATGAATTTGAATGAATTGCAAATCAATAATTTGCTTTCTAAGCATTCAAAAACAAAAAAGGTTTTTAAAGGAGTTTATCCCTCTGATAAGCTTCCTAAAGTAATTTCTAAATATCCTGCTCTAATAATAGCAAACACAGATTCATCACAACGTCCAGGAACTCATTGGGTTGCTTTCTACTTTGAAAGCAAAAATTCAGCTGAATTTTTTGATTCCTATGGTCAATATCCTCAGAAAAAAGAATTTTTACAATTATTAAGAAAAAATTCAATGAAGTTTACATTTAATAAACAATCACTTTGTTAATGTGTGATTGTGTGTGTGTTTTGGTATGCATACGGTACATAAACCGTCTACAAATTTGTCGTCGCAACTAGAACTTGAACCAGTTGGACTGCGGAGAGGGATTCCTACGTCGAGCAAATGAGGGTCTGAAGACACGGCGACAGCCTCTGTTGATTGCAGTTGTAGAGAATGAGTGAACAGGCAGTGATGGTACTGTTTCTGATACTGATTTTATTCAACAAACTTAATTTCTATTTATAGGTAAAGAGAACAAAAGGTACAGAAAGTGCTGAGTCTAGTAAGAATATGGTAAAAGGGAATTGGAATTAATATTGAATTTATTTGGGTTTTATATGATATTTTGTTATTGGGCAATTGTGATAGTCAGCAATTGCACCAGTGTTTTTGCCCTCTGACGAGCGATCGCATCGTTGGCAGAAATTGCTGCAGAAGCGGTTATTGTTGACTCAGCTACAATGCCTTGTCGTTTGTTATTATGTCTCCCGTTACATGGGTCGACCTGACTTATTCGATATAGTGTATATATGTAATATTAATTACTGCATAAATATGCGACTGAACATTCTCCCGGCCGTTGAACTGGTGTTCAACCATCGCCCAAGTCGACTGAAAAGCGGCGTGGAATGGGGATCTTATTTATTTATTTACTTATTTCCTAGTGCGACAAGAAAGTTTCTTATAAATTAATGCACTAGTCACAAAACATGAAACGTTAAAGGAAATTAATTCTTTGTTTGGGTGTTAGTCGATATGATTAACCTACTTAGCCTATTTATATTTTTATGTTAATTTTTGATTTTTTATTTATTTAATTTGTAGTTTTATTATATTTATTTTGCTATTACTGTTTTTATTATTTTTACTTATATTACTATTAATAGTTTTTTAAGTATAAATTTAATTTTTCCCTATATTGCGATGCACTACTAATTTTCTTTAGGTTTTGTGGTAGCTGATTCCACAGACGAATAGCATGTATAAAAAATTGCCGCTCGGAACAGCCAAGCTTGTAACGAATATTAATAATATTGTTGGTTCTTGCAGACACACCAAAACGCAGCTTTTCATATAAATAGCTCGGTTCTCCTGTATAAACGATTTTATGCAACATTATTAAAGTTCTGTAGTCTTTCCAAGTTTCAAACTTCATCTGATTGATGCTGTCAGCCAAACTGGATATGTGTTCACCCCTCTTAACATTGAAGACATATCTAGCTACATTATTGTATGCCACTTTTAGTCTGTGCTGAGATGCCCTATCACAATTTCCAAAAATTTCAATACCATAACAAAGCGTGGGTATAAGATATGTTTTGGCTATTAAGAGTCTGAGTTGTTTTGGCAAAAATTGCTGAGTCAAGGAAAGTTGTCTTATTATACCATACGTTTTACCGGCTGCCTTGGTTACTTGGTCACTCCAGGACAATGTCTTGTTTATGGTGATTCCAAGATTAACAGCCTGATCCACATATTCAATTAGCGTGTTATTTATTGATAATTTAGGCAGATTTTCCGTGCTCAGCAACCTTTTATATATAATAATACATTTAGATTTGACAGGGTTTAGCGACAATCCATTACAGTTGGCCCATTTACTAACGTTCGACAGTTCAACATTACACAACAATACACACTCATTTATTCTGCTTAACGGACAACTAACATACATTTGGACATCATCGGCATACATATGAACTTTACACTTGGATAACGAACCAGGGAGATCATTAACATATAGGGTGAAGAGGAGTGGACCAAGGATTGAACCTTGGGGTACTCCGCGTCTCACAGGTAGAAATGTTGATATTTCACTGTCAGTTTTCACAGCTTGGCTTCTTCCATGCAGATAGGACGATATTAGTTTTACTGCAGTGTTAGTAAAATTAAAGAATTTGTTTAACTTAGTACATAGGATATTGTGGTCTACCGTGTCAAAAGCTTTACTAAAGTCCAAGAGTGTCAGAAATGTAACCTTACTATCGTCAAGTTCCTCTCTAATGTTTTCTGTGACATCTAAAATGGCAGTAGTACAGCTTCGGAATTTACGGAAGCCGGATTGTTTATTGCACAATAACGAATGTTGTACTAGGTAATTATTGATTTGTTGTGCCATGAGATTTTCGAGTACCTTTGATAGGTAGGGCAGGATAGATATTGGCCTGTAGTCATTTTTTGCCTTTGGTATTGGAATTACTTTGGCCAATTTCCACTGATCTGGGAAACTTGATGTTGTAAGCGCTGTGTTGCATATATGAGTTACATGATTGATTATCCTAGGCAAAATCATTTTAATAAATTTGGGATGCTGATTATCCATACCAACAGCCTTTGACTTAATTTTAAGGGCGGAACTCAGGACATCACAGGGAGTTACGCACATGAAACTAAAGCTATTATCACAGTCAGTATTTGTTACGGCGTCAATGTAAGGGTTAGTCATGTTTTCAGGTACGGTCGATTGCACAAATTTTCTGTTCAGTTCGTTAGCATCAGCAGTAATTTTAGGGGAAGCTTTCAGGTTTCCTATGCCAAGTTTTTTAAGCTCACCCCATCTTTGCTTAGTTGATATGGCGTTGTTGAATTTTTCAGCGTAATGGTGACTTTTTATACCCGTACTCAAAAAAGAGTTAAGGGGTATATTAGATTTGTGGTAAAAGTGGATGTGTGTAACGCAGAGAAGGAAACGTTTCCGACCCCATAAAGTATATATATTCTTGATCAGCATCAATAGCCGAGTCGATAGAGCCATGTCTGTCTGTCCGTCTGTCCGTCTGTCCGTCTGTCCGTCTGTCTGTCTGTCCGTCTTGTTGAGCGCCTAGATCTCAGAGACTTAAGAGCTAGGGCAACCAAATTTGGTTTCCACACTCGTGATATCACACTGCTACAAGTGTATTTCAAAATTTCGCCCCGCCTCCTTCCGCCCCCACAAAGGACGAAAATCTGTGGCAGGCACATTTTTAAAGATACGATAAAACTAAAAACGCAGTATATAGAGAATGCCCATACCTACCAGACTGCCGAATCTGAATCAGATCAGATCATAATTATAGCCAGAATGAAGAAATTAATTTTCAGTTGCTTCCCCTGTCCGCCCTCCCGACGACGACAACGAAACTCATTTTCCTTCTCGCTCGCACACTCTGCCGCGTTCAGTGCGCGAGCAACCCCTAGCGGAGGAGAGTTAGAATCTAAATGGAGCATGTACATTGTACAATCTACATGTTAGATGTAGAATATACATTGTAGATGTAGATGTAGATATCAGATGTAGCAAAAAAATGGAAAATGTAAAATTTTTTTTTTTTCTAAAATTCTAAAAAATCATAAGATCAAAAATGTATATACTGACTGAGTACGGGTATAAGTAGAGTCGCGTCCCCAGAAGCGACTCGCACGTTCCTTCTCGTTTCAGTTGCGATCATTTTAGTTACTGTCCGTCTTAAAATTTTAAACTGCTGGTAATGCTCAGGAGTCTTGTATCTCTTCCACTTAGAATATGCAATATTACGTTCCCTTACTTTACAAGCAATACCTCGATTGAACCAAGGTTTTTGGCTAGCTTTAAGAGTTTTCCTTTTTAAAGGTACATGCCTATCATACAGTGCGTCAATGTACGCGGACAATTGTCTTAGTTGAGAGTTTACGTCCGTTAGTGAGTATATTGCATTCCAATTATATAAGTCAATTTCAGTACAAAGTAGCCTAATATTAATGTTCTTAAAGTCCCTTAAATAAATGATTTGGTCAGTCAGATGTGGGTTAAATTCATACGTCAGGTAAATTAAATCATGCTTAGAAAATACTGGTACGTCAATTTGGTCATATAATAGAATTTTATTAATATCACTAACGAAAAAAACATCTAGTAGCGTATTAATAGTATTAGAAAAGTGTGTTGGCATGGACGAATTAACAAGGTTTAAACCCAAAGACGACATTGCATCGGCAAGGTGTCGTTCAGTTAGCATATTGCTGTTAAGGTCTCCAGTTATGACTGTGTCTTCGTAACTTAAAGATAGAGTCGTAATTGTGTCAATTGCGTCTGAATAGTCAGTAGAACGATTAGGTCTATAAAGACAGCCAATAAGAATTTTTGGTGAACTCCCTCTACCAGTGACTTCAAGAAACAAGTACTCTATTGCGCTTCCACTGGGTTGTTTACTTACTACTTTGGTTTTTAGTTTGTTGTTAGTGTATATTGCAACCCCACCTGCATGACCTTCTCGATCAGATCGATATAAATCATAGCCGTCACAAGTGATCAAGACATCGTCTAGTTGAGAGACAAACCACGTTTCAGAGACACATATTACATCTACGTTGGACTTCACAAACAAATACCTGAACTCTTCAATTTTTTGGCAAAGACTTTGTGCATTTATATGGCATATTTGTAAGCCGATTTTCTGCTTAGCAAGAACCTTGATAATTGTGTTGCTATTCTCTGTGGATCTTCTTATATTAGTGTGCATATTTTCCCTATCAGTAGCACACGCAATTTACAAATTAGGTATAAATATATAAACAAAACATTTAATGCGAAACATATAGTACTTACAGAACTAACACTGAACTTGACAGGTAAGAGAGCAGAGGAAAGCATCGGTTTAGCGAAAGCTATCATCATTTTTATGAGTATTTGCCTGCTCTTCTCTATTCTCTTCACTGTGCCTAGTATTAGCATTAATTAAGGG